GGTCACGGTGTGAGTGTGGTGCAGACGGAGGGTGAGTTGCTGGGTAGAAACCACTTGTTTCTTTCACATGAGTGCCCTCATCCAGCAGCAGCAGCTCCACATGTTGTGTCAGGGTAATCCCCCCACCTCCATCTCTCCTCCTGTCTTCTCCTCTCATCTTCTCCATCATTCCATCATATTTTCTCCAGCCGACCCTGCACTTATTCACTCCAACTCCCTGTCTTGTCTGGCATCATCTTCATCCAACCACCCCCCCTACCCGTTCCGTTCCATTTGCACGAGGCTGCCGCCGCACATCAAAAACACCTCTGCCTCCCTGCCTCTGTCTCACAAATATCCACTGCTCAAACGCAGGCGGGGCTCTCATGTAACACCACTTGGGCTCGGTTCAAGGTTTCATTGAAGAGATTTTCTCCAGAGGCGCGTGAGGAGAGATGGGTGCGTGCAAAATGTGTAACCCAAGAGGCAATGTGCATAATGGGAGGGGGTTAGGGTGGAAAATCCAAAACAACAACAATGCAACACTGTGAACAACAAGAAGCGGCTACAAAAAAAAAGGAAAACAGCATTCCTAGAATGCCATGTTTAGACACCAATTTAGACCCCAGGCAGAACAGCCTTCTATAGAGAGAAATCCTCAGAAGAGTTTTCAGGAAAGATTTTTCCCTCCCATCTTCTTGCACTTTTTTGATCAGGTCTTGGTTCATCCCAGTTTAATCACTTTTGTCAGTTAATTGCAGGAGGCTGACTTGGGCATTTTCAGGAATAAACAACTCCGCAATCAGGAATATGGCAACAACCAGGATTTACGCAAACGGGTTGGCTTCCAGTCAACAAGATAGCATCAAAAAAAAACACATGGAGTCAGTATTTTGGCTGGGGCTTCAGTGGGTGTGGGGTCCAGCCTTAGGCTTCAGTCCTGCTCCCACTACGACCCCACAGACGCCACGGTTGGCAGCGGTCACAGAGGAGACCCAAAGCCCTTAGGTTCTCTCTCGCCATCTGAACTCTGATTTGACCGTGGTTTGACATGCTCACTATCATGCTAGTGGTGGTCTTTTGGGGGGGAGGGGGGTTTGGGGGACCAGGGGAAAAAAGGTGCTTACTCTGCTAGTCTTCCCCTTGTAGCCGTGGTAACAGCATCAGTTGCACGTGACAGTGTATGTTAAAATGTCTTGGAGGCGTATGGGCTGTTGGTGATGAATAAAGGGTTAAGCACGCATGGGTAGGGATAAAGTAGGCCACAATAATAAGAGGGAGGAGGGAAGGGTGCATGTTGTTACTGTACAGTAGCATCGAAGGGATAGTTTATGATGTTTTAAGAGGGCTTGACTCTAAAGGTTACAAGCAGTTAACTTGAAACCCAAATTAGTTAGTTAAAGCCTTGTCCAAGAAGGACTAAAGTGGGACCCTGTATTAAATCTCACAAAATATAAGACAAAATAAATAATCTTTATGACAATTTTCAGTTTTGTATTAAAATGTTCTGTACAAAAACTGCAGAAAATAGAGTTGGTTTTCCACCAATGATCCCCTTGTGTGAAAATAGAGTCAGAGTAACTACCTGATACTAATTTTTTAAAGAAATATTCACTCAGTTAACTTTAATCTTTTTATTTTTGCATTCTTACATCAGCCCAAAACCCCTTCACAGCTGTAGTTTTCTACTATAAAACCATATTTATCCCTTGCATGTTACCATTCACTTTTCTGCAGTTTTATGCGTGCTGTATATGAAGGTGAGGGTGGAAAGAGCCATGCATTTTCTTTGTAAAGACGACCAGAACATGTGAAGCTTTTGATGGCAGACGAAAGGCAATGGAAGTTCATTTTTAAAACTACTGCAGCTTTATGCAACAGAGATACAGAGTTACTTCTCTAACGTAGCTCTGTTTTCAGCATCTTATTTACAGCTATAGTTGTTTTAAAGCAGTCTACAAAAAAAATGATAATGATGATTTGTTTCACACTGGAATATCATAGGTGGTGCACGCAGAGTCCTGCACAGGTCTGTTTTTTCAAAAACTGTAAATGTCCGCACCCGAAGAGTTCAGAACCAAGAGCCAACCCGTTATACATGTTTTAAACCCGGCTTGGACTGCATGGACCCGTAAATAATAAAGTGCAATCTGACCCTTGATCACAAAGTGTACACACAGCCATTTATAATAGAGGCAGAAACGAACGTTGCCTCACATTCACATCCAGTGCATGCTCAATCACAGAGTAACAACTGTAAGTCGCAGTAAGAAGGTTTGCCTTGTTGCTTAAAAAAATACTGTTATCAGGATATTCTTAGATCAATTAGATTTTTTTGATAGATACCCGCATTTTGTTCATTTATGCTCGTGCCCGCACCCATTAAATAATGTGCCCCCTACTTCTATTCCCCGTGTAAACGCTCAGCACCTTCTCTGTAAATAGTGCCACATCGCAACAAACGACAAGAGGTTATTTATTTATAAAACAACATTAGTGAAATTGATTGATTTAAGATTTTCCCACTACCTTACTTTAATCTTCAGCAAACCCTGACTAGAAACCTGTTAGAGATTCATCTTCTACCGTTTATCTTTCCAGTTGAATTAATCATCGACTTTTGTGTAAATAACTGCTATATAAACATTTGTATAAAACCATGATTTTGTTTAAGATGGGAGTAGTTTTAACATGGTTGTCTGCTTTGGTCTTGGCTTATCTTAAAACAATCAGAATCTGGATCTAAATGAAGATGACTGTAGTTCTATCTACAGCAGTTAAGAACCTTATTTTGAAAAAAAGAGGATAATTCCTTTCAAGTGCATAAGTCTGTGGAGAGGATGTTGTTTTGGGCCAAAACACTCACCCTGTCTCCGCTTTAGAGGAGCAGGGCTGGTAGAGGAGAAATTCAAAGGTTGACTCCTGATCCTCCTCAGTGGAAGTCATTTATTTACCTCACTGAACCCCATCATCCAAACACACAGGTTAACACATCCCCTCTTCAACTCAAACCCCACTGGAGGGGATACAGTCACCGCTTACGTAATCGGGTTCAATCAAGCCGCTGTACCATTAGCTCAAAGTACAGAGATCACCAACACACACATTGACAGAAGCAGCCAAAATCAGAAACACACTATCTGAATTTGAGACAGTGCGTTGGGATTGGGAGGAAGCTAAGCACAAACACACTGTTAGCCCTGATATCCATCTCTGGACGCACCCTTTAAAAACACATACAGACCCGTAAACACAACCATAATACTGAACACACAGGTCTGCGTTTGAAGTAATCAACCTAAGGGTGTTTCAGCTCGGCTAACGAAATCCAATCACTAAAGCGACCATGAGAAGCTTATTTTCCTCCATTTTGTTCCCTTTTACACATTTAATCTGTTTATGTATTTTTTTCCCGCTTAACGAAGATATTCTAATGAAATACAAAATGGCAGGTGTCGATCGTTCAAATCTAGCCGGCTTGATTACTGCGGGACATGTTGATCAACAAATCTCTAAAACAGGACTTGTCTGACAACATGAAGCAGGTTTTAGGATCTCCGGAATCAACGCCCTGATGTAAAAGATCGGTGATGATCTCTATTCTGCTATAAGAAAGAGGCGGAGCATGCAAGGTAAAGTTTGAGGGCCAAAACCAAAGCTGAGGAAAAATAACCGAATGAAGAGGAGTTTCAGACTTCCTCAGTTTCCCAAAGGAAGCAGAACCTGAGTCATCCTAAACCACCAATTAGGCCAAGGCTTACCACGCACCGACTCTTTCACATACTACAGGTTGGTTTGGGTTATCTTTTAATGATGATTATTTGTAAGCTGCTTTTTTTTTTTATCTTATTTTAATCTTTCTGATGTTTCTGCTGTGCTTTTTAAACACACCCAGCAGAAGCTGTGAGCTGCTCAGAAGAAACCCCCCCGACCCAGGCCTGCCACAGAAAGACAAACAGCCGTGATGAGCAAGAGGGTGCAGGAAGTGGAGATGCTGTAATTAACACTTGGCCTCAATCACACATCCTGAATACATTTTCTCCCTCTGACGTGCTCATTCCTCGTCAGCCTGCCCAACGTTTCCCCAACCGTCCCCTTGTCTCGGTTGTTTTTCCTGTCTCTCATGCACAGCTATCACGCCACCTCCACATATACAGGCGGATTCTCACACGACGAGCTGAGCAGAACCACCCACACACGCCTACATGTGCTTGCACACTGACAATATCTCTTATAGCCCCAGAAATGTGAGCAAGATCTTATTAAACCTATGGCAACCGCATCCCCCACCCGGCATCCTTCTTCTAACCGAGTCTGTGGGTATGTCTGTGAGACAGATGCAATCTGAGCTAAAAACATCATTGGGGATCGAGGTAACGGAGCTGAATGACAAATCTGGGTCACAGTCGTTTGACACAAACATGAGTCGTTTTTTTAAAGTCGGAGGTTATAACCTGATAAAGGTAATGCTTAGTCAATTTTGCTCTCTTCTGTGCTTAAACTAAGACACATGTTGAGGTGAATTGATTCAGGAGCTACCTGAAGCAAAACAAAATGTGCTGATGAACAGGCTTGAACATAAATTTTCCTCCTCTAAAGACCGTTTGACCTCCTCTGTCACTATGGCTACTAGAAAAAACACTCAAACGCCAAAACAAATCTGCTCCAACCTTGCATGCACTTTTCCCACTTTGAGAGCATTCCATTTTGGCTCAAACTCATCCCCATCAATCTCCTGGCTTCAGGCTGTTACCTATAAACCTTTAACCTTTCATTCTGACTCCAGAGTTACCCCAGAGCTCTCTCCATCATCCCACAAAAGCCTTCCTTCATCTTCCAAGAGGAAGGGGATCCTGCCCCAATTAAGGAGCATTCCTTTCATTCTTTATAGTGCCTCTTCTTTCTTTTCTTTTCTCATCTAACTATATATTTTTTGCTTCTGCTGGTGTAAATTAAGGTATTATGATGAGGAAGTCCAGGTTTTGGAGCATAAGCTTAAAATCACTGAGCTAAGTTCTCACCTGTTTTGAAGATCTCGTAGCGCAGAGAGAAACCGGCACCCTGATGGGCGTAGTCCGAGACGAATCGGATCTGGATCGAGGATCCGGACGAGATGATGGGCGGCGGTGCGATGTTGCTGCAGTGTCGTCCCAAAACGTCAGCTGTATCCGAAGTCCCATCACGGATTTCTATGAAGTCGTACCTGAGCCATGACAAGAGAGCGAAAACATTTATTTTTAATAACTCCCTCCCGGTCTGTTGATTGAAAGGAAATCTTTACTTTATGGCACGATTGAGAAGATTTAAAGAACAAAAAGAGTTTTGCAACCAGCTAGACGTGTTTCAGGAAAGAATCTCCGAATTGAGGAAAACAACCAATCAAAAAGGAGAAATAAACTGTGTTGTCTCCCAACAGATGGATTCAATAAATGTAGCTCTTCTGACCCAGTTTTGCTCGGGACGGCACGCTCAGATCTCTTTGATGACAGCTCGGGGCGAACAATCCCCAAATCCCTGAATATTGGATCACAGGAAAGAAAATGGAGGGAGGGCTGTATTTCAAACAGGGCACATATTTAGTGCGTGTCTATCAACGGCGAGGCGGAGGATGCAGGCAAAACAGACAGCTGGATAAATTCAGTAATAAGAGGAGTAAAGATAGATGGTTGAGGCTCCTGAAAAAAACAAGAGGTGAGGGCATCAGACGCAGGCAGGGTTAGAGCCCACAACTGCCTCTATCTTCATTAGCTTCCACATACTTTGTTCTCTCAGCTCTTCGCTGAACTCTAACTGACCAACTGACCCTGAATGACAGAACAGATTCTTTACTGTCAGCTCAGTGTGTGTGTGTGAGAGAAAAACAGACAGAGCGAGAGAGTGCACCTGGCTAATCCTGAATTAGCTCATAGCTCTGTGCACCATTCCTGTGTATCAGCATCACTGATTGAAAAAACATGGTGAGCTGGTTCATGTTGGACTCTGATACTTCAAAGAGAACGCTCTGTTCCTGTTGCACCTAATTAACCTCTGCTATGCACAGATTTAGAAAAAGCATAAACAAGAAATGTTTTCGCTGTTATGTAGATGAGGTGTTTATTAATATCTGATTAAAAAAAACTAATCTGAGACAAATAGCCTACTTGGTTGTTATTGCATGGCTTAAAAAAGGGATTCGCTTTATGAAGCTACACAGATAGAGATTGTGTACATTATGTGTACTAATAAAATATGATCCTGCGACTTTACTAAATTTTGATATGCCCTGCATTATATTGGATATTGAATTCGTTGAAGTTGAGAAGCATTTAACTTTCTGACATTAGGGGACTCTCTTGTTAGATTTCCTGCCGTTGTAGATCTAAACACCATCTTTCCCATGTCTCGGTGTCTACTTGGAACTTGCATCATTTTCGCCAGATCTTGTCCTTGTCTTTGACGTGCTGGACTCTGGATTTTGTTCTCTAAAGACAAACGCTGCAGTTTCTGTTTTTTATTTTTTTATTTTTACTAAAACTGAGCATAACTAATTGAATTTGATTAGGCTTCTGGTCTGACTTATGATGTCATAAGTCAGGGAAGAGAAGGCATTGAAGACAATGGATTCTTGCAGAACACTTTTCAATTCCATAAAGCTTCTCCTCTTGAGTGTCTGACAAAGATGGACCATAAGTTCAACTTGGTTCCATCATTGCAATTTGATGGAAATGTTATGAGTGAAACTAGAAAGGAGAAGGTAGCGATGTAAACCACATTCTCTCTGGGGAAATAGAATTGCATATAAATATTATGCAATTTGTATAATGTAATTGCATAATCACAAATCATGCAATTTGTAATTGTGAAATGGAACAGAGTTTGAGCAAAACGGCAACCGTGCAAAATAATAAGTGAAATGATTGGTCTCACATTGGAGAAATTTACCTCTGCATTTAACCCGTCCCCTTGGGCTGCCACTGTGCATCGCACAGGGAGCATTGTGGGGCTAAGGGTGTTGCTCAAGGACCCAGAGTGCAGGCTGTAGGGTTCAAACCAGTTACTTGCAACCTTCTCAGAGTACAAGCGCACTGCTCTAACCACTAGGCCAACACTCCCAAACCGCATCAAGTGGATTTGTTGATTTTATTCTGACTGGTTTGGTTTTATAAATCTGGCTATTATCGAGCGGTCTCTAAATTCTTGTGTGAATGCTACATCTCCCTTTTAACTAGAGGGTCTTTCTACAGACCCTTTTTTCATAGCATAATGTTTTAAAGAAATCAGATTGCTACAAATACAGTCAGTATGTATGATGGGGATCTTCTTTCAAGTGTCACAACATTTCTGTTTGTCACCTTCATCCCTACACGGCAACTCAAGAAAAACGTTAATGGTTTCAGTATGTTATAGGGAGAAATAAGATATTCAGATAATTAAAAAAAAACTGTAAAAAGTTTGGCTGGATCGAAACTAAGTGGTGGTGCAGCTACCTAAGATTGATGCAGTCAGTCTTGATCAGCTCTTGCAGAGCAGCCTCTTAATAAGCAGCCAGAAGGAGATATATATGGATTTTTTGTATAACTTTCTAAACAAAAATCAGCTTTCTCAAAGTAATGGGTTTTAGGCCTTAATCTTGGTCCATTCAGTTTTGTATCTTTGCTGTTATTTAGATGGCACCACATAATGTTTTGGAATAGCCGTTCTTAGCATAATAATTTTAGGGTTCGGTCAGATTTCGAATGTGTTGAAATGTTTTAATTTCTGTTTAGGGGTAGCCTAGTGCTTAAGTGCTGTTTAAAGTAAGGCTCATATAATTTATTGGAGTAATTATACACTTTTCACAGACTATTAGACTCACTCTTCCTCTTATTTTTTTCTTAACCATGTGTTTCCAGTAAATTAGTATGTTTGTGCTTCGTGCAGCACGAGCTAATCAATTTCTCTCCATTTGGTCCCAATAGTATCATCCCCTTTCTTGCTAAAAGTGTCTCCTCAGTCCACATGTTGTGTTTCCTCGTGTTGCTAACTGCATCGCTGCAGGAGCCTTGCAGCTAACTGCGAGCACCCTCCGAATGTGCAGACATCCAAACACACTTGTCTGAATTAGTTCATGTGACAAAGCTGTCAAGGAACAACCGGGTCGCCGTTATCTCGCTAATTAGTGTGATGAGCTGTTTGGTGCTGACAAAGCATTACAGGCATTTCTGGATTTGAACACATATTTAAAGTCAGTATCTTTGATGATGTTCTTGCTGTTACTTTAAAATGAAAGGCATTCAGGGTATGCTGAGACATTGCAATCAGCTCAAGCCTGTGGCTGCTTGTGGCATCTGAGCACTAAGATGGCTTTTGTAGTGCCAGCTTGAAATAAAACCTGGATTAAGAAGAGTCACTAAGCTTCTTTTTATTTTAGCTATCTCATTCCTGCAGTGCATCGACTCCAATGCTGAGCATTCAGACTAAGACTGCTGATCGAGGGATAATCCCAGCACAATAATCTGGGTCAGAGTGGCACATGCAAAGGTGAGGAATAAAACACTAAATGGCTGAAATAAGCCGGAAATGCTTAAGAAAATGTGAAGAAAGCAAAAATATATATATACAAAATACAAAATATTATATTGGAATATAAGAGACAGAGAGGTTAAATTGGCGTGGTTTGAATGCAAAGGTGCAAAGCAAGAATGATTCAAAGAAATGCGCAGCTGATTCGGACAACAGGAGCAACAAGATGCATCAAACCAATTTGTTTGTCCTTGCATTGTAATAAACAAGCAGGTTATAATCCTGATGAGATGTGGTTAAGCCCTCATGTCACAGACAGTTTCAGGATTTGAAGTTCGGGTCTGAGTAGCACTAACGCTTGTGGCTAAAGAAGCTGTTTTCCAATACTCTTATACATGTCCTGCTTGTAATCCTGCATTACAGAGGCGATCGTAGAGGCTTTAGTGCCAGGCTCCCACAGTGAGTCTGGGAGAGCCACTGCTATCCCTAATGCTTAAGGCTGTAACTGACACATGCTTGGGGAAAACAAGATCCAAGAACGCGCCAACAAGCACACAGACATTCATGCAAACAAGTACACAAAGTGGAGATGCGCGCAAACACGGGCACGCACGCATACACTGAGCAGCGTATCTCCAACACCAGGGATAAAAGGCCCGTGAAAGAGCTGAGAGCCTAATTAGGTTTTAATTGATTTTGGAGTGGGTCTTTATCCTTCTTTCTGTCTCTCCCTCTCTCCTGTTGTGGATTAGCGTCAGCGAGTGAGTGTTCCTCAGATGTGATTATTGACCTGTTCACTCAGCCTCTCCCTAGGCTCTGTTGAATACATGTATGAAGGCCTGACGTGCGAGAGCCCACTGTCTACCTCTCTCAGACGCACACTTAAACACATTCCAGGACGTTGCACGCAAATCGCCTTTACACGAAGACCTAGGAAGACCCGCATGATATAGCATTTGAGCAGAGAGGTCCGGGTTCCATTAGGGCTTGTTTTGGACCAAACTCCGCCCATTCTGTCAGATACCACCATCCATTCCCATCATCTGTCTGGTAGCCTGTCTGGGGTCTTCTTGACCGACCCCATGTTGAGGGAGCCATAATAAGGCAGCCGCTTCACCCTCCATCTTTTCCCCTTTAGGGAGTTGCTGGAACAGAGGGAGAGAGGTTAAGGAAACTAAAACCCCTCAGGGGCCAGTAATTCTGCACCGGTCCAGACATGTCTTCTCTTCTTCGGCTCTCATATATCACAGCGCCCCTGCGTCAAAGCAACTAATTGCCTTTCACACCTTTGCTGTTTGCCAGCGACCAGGGACATTTCCTCCAGCTGATAGTACCTCATTGCAGCCAAACAGAAGTCTAGTATCATCAGACCATATGTGTGCACAATTTCATGTCCCCTTTACAGCCTTTGGGACCTTACAAGTCGAATAAAAACTCATCTGTGTTTATGATCTGTTCATTTTACTTGGACATTTCCTGTTGCTCTTTTGGATTTCATCAAATCAACCAAGATCCGTTTTTCAAAACTCTCTTGAAAGTATTTTCAAAGGGAACAACAAATCATAGTGTAAGATTAAAGCAGTTTGGTTGCGGCTGAGCGTTGGTTGTCTGATTTATTTTGTTTTTGCAGATAATGCAGCAACAGCTGTTTCTGGATATTCTGCAAACCAAACTTGGCTGGATTCAGACACTTGGGGTTTCAGCTGAGATGATTTTCCCCTC